GGGGATTCACCACCCTTGGTTTTTTTCTAACGGGCTATTCGTCTGTTTGCTCCAGTTTCTGTTAGTGGCCACAGTCATCTAACCAAAGTGGTCTGATGTAATTGAGCAAAGTTAATATATTCTTGACAGGGGAGGATAATAGGGAAACTTAACCCAAATTTCCTAGGATGGCTAGAAGATAGGCTTTATGGCAACCATCGAGATGAACTTCAGTGTAGACACCGAGCCCTTCAGCTTATTATCCAGATGATACTGCTTCCTACATTAAGGATCAACAGTACGGCCCAGAGACTCATCCAAGAGAAAAGTAATCACATCAGTAGGTGGGTGGCCAAGGTAGCCAAGCCACCTGACCACACCTGTTGGTCTTGTGGGCCCATTTTATATCATAGGTATGACCTTGAGAACTTGTGTATATAATTGGGGAGGGGGATCAAATAATTTAAAATCAAAGTTATTGGGCTTTGGTTTAAAGGAATTCTGTCATAAGCCAAAGTTAGCTGTTCATCTCATTACCCAGTAGGGATGGGTGGGTATTCGGGTCTGTCTGAACTTGGCCTTGACTATCATGGCAGTTGAAGCTCTCATACAGAGATTTTGCCATGTGGGTATAGTTTGTTAGATATTTGAAAGTTTGTGTAGATATTTGAGAAAACAAGAACTCAGACTTTGGCCTTTTCTATTGTGGTCACTTGAGTTAGGATGCTCTATTTATGAAGATAAATTTAATATATAAGGGGTTAGGGCTGGTGTCTAACTTCTGTCCCCAGGGTCCCTGTGCTGCCACGGCACGTCACACTCTCCCCTCCGCCCCCGAGCCTGGGAATGAATTGTGAGTGTAAGTTTTATGAGTCACTGTTAAGAGGCAGAGCACATTTTCAGGCCAGCAACTGTCCTTGCCTGAGTTTTTCTATTTTGAGTTATTTATTCTACAAAATGTGGGGGAAATGTGTGTAGGATAAGGCAGAGAAACAGATTTTTCAAGCTCTCAGAGCACCCTAGGGAGCAGTGAGTGTGCGATCTGGTTCTCCTGCATTTCCCAGCCTGGCGTTTTCAAGGGAGGCCTGTTGAGTGGGAGAGTCTCATCACCCGGAAACAAAGTGGGAGAGTCTCATCACCCGGTTTCAGATGACAGACCTTGGTCAGAAACAGTGGACTGAGCAACTGATTTAGGCCAACCATGAGGGAGGCTCTCGTAGTCAGCATCCTGGGCAGATGACCTCTCTGCTGTCTTCACAGACTGATTTTCTCTAAAGTGCAGTGTTGGGCTACATCTTCCCTGCCAACTCCACAATCTGTGTTCCTCAGATTCTCATGATGGTTTGCCTCAGGTTTGCATTTTCCCCCCCCGCAAGCAGTGAAACTTTGCCTCCAGAAATACCCTCCCCACACCCCCCTTCCTGAGCTTCATGCTTTGGAGCAGAGCCCATGGGCAGGGCTGCTGCGTGAACCAAGCCTACTGCTTCCTGGAGAGGGCCCCCAGATTGCAGAACGAGGTAGCTTGTCTGCCAAAGAACACCAGCCTCAGCCTTCCTTCTTGACTTACTGCCCGTATTCTTCCACACTGATAGTAAGCAAGGAGGCTGAGGAAGGGGATCTCAGCTGACTTCTATCTTTACTGCTTTGACATACCTGTCAGAGCCTGACTCTCTTTTTTTTTTTTCCCTAGAAAAACAGAAGGAGCATCTGGGGAGCTAGTGAAAAACCCTTAGGTGATCCCTAAGGTTCCCTTGGGTATTTTGCATTTTGTTTGCATATTTGAGTGTGTGCAAGTGTGCCTGGCTTTCATGATATATATTTTTTAATAGGGTGGGAGGGATATTGGGAGTGGAGAAAGATTGAGTTGACTTTTGTGTGGTTTTGTTTTAATAGAGAACATTTTTTTTTCCCTTTTACTGTCAGCTGGTCTGATGGGTTTATGGATTCTCATTCTTAAAAGACATTGGTCTTAAGTTCTAGAATTTTAGATTAGGACTGTTCTACTGTGAATAAAGTTCTGGCTCTGTTAGCCCAGACATTGCTTCTGCCTGCTCAGGTCTGGGATCCCAAGCAGCGCTCTTTTGTTGTGAACATTGTGATCTGCAACCCTGCCCCCGCCATTTGTTTTTAAAAAGTCACCTCTTCAGCAATTCAGGGGCTCCTTGACCTCATTATTCCTGCCTCCACCCTAGTTTTACGTCAAGATATTTGACCTTTGCAGTCACAGACCTTTGCCTCCGGCCATGGCACCTGTTCTTTGTCTCTATAAGTTAAACCCTGTCTGGATTCCCCCATGTGGATCTCCCCCTGGATCTTGGAAGCCCAGGCAGGATCTCCTGGATAGACGACCCTGACTCCAGCAGTGCTGGTGCTGCTGAGTGTGGACTGAGCACCTACAATTTGCAGAGGACACATGGTGTGGGCCTTGCTTTGGGTTCCCTGGGGCCTGCTGCAGGAACTCTGGAAGAGAAGAAAGAGCCGGCATCCCAGCATCCTACACTGTCTATCATGCTGTGTCGTTTCAAGGAGGGGAGATGATAAACTACTTGCCTTCTAGAGCTCTTTGTGAAAAATTAAAAAAAAAAAAAATAGCTCAACACTATGATTGTTCACTCATTCCACCAACACTGACCAATGGCCAACGCTGCTGGAACTTCCAGGTCTGCCCTGGACCAAGGATGTTGGAGGCCGGAGATAGCCAGTGCTGCTGCTCGCCCCCATGGCAAACGTGGTCACTGACCTTCCTGTCCAGTGGGAGTTGTTTTAGACTCCTGGGTAGAGGTGGGCAAGCAGAAAATTTTTCTAGGCTACAGAAAGACAGGCGTCCCCAGTGGGAGAGTGGTAAGGGAGGGTCCATCTTATATTTTTGTTCTATAGGTCAGTCTAACCATTCATCGAAGATACTGGCTGGTTTAAGGCCAAAGAACTTTATCCCAGGGCAAGAAAGAAAGAAAGAAAGAAAGAGAAAGGAAAGGAAGAAAAGAAAGAAAGAGAAAGAGAAT